GTGTGTGTCTTTGTGTGTGTTCACACCCTGTGTCAGTCACCAACACGTGACCCTGCACACGCAGGTGCACGGCCACACGTGTGTACCCCCAGACAGGCGTGAACACCAGCACCTCCCTGTGCACACGCCTTTGCACTGCCACGCCCACACCCTGTGTGCGCACACGCGTGTGCCCCAGCTGGGTGTGCCCTGGTGCCCACAGGTCTGTCACATGGGTGTGCCCCAGCTGAGTGTGCCCTGGTGTGCCCACAGGTCTGTCACACGTGTGTCCACTCTGGGTGTGCCCTGGTGTGCCCACAGGTCTGTCACACGCGTGTCCACTCTGGGTGTGCCCTGGTGTGCCCACAGGTCTGTCACACGTGTGTCCCCCATCTGGGTGTGCCCTGGTGTGCCCACAGGCCTGTCACACGTGTGTCCACTCTGGGTGTGCCCTGGTGTGCCCACAGGTCTGTCACATGTGTGTCCCCCAGCCGGGTGTGCCCTGGTGTGCCCACAGGTCTGTGCCACGCGTGTGTGGCGCTGTGGGTGCCCCCGGCCCGGCCCCGGCCAGGAATCCGTCGGGGCAGCACTTTGCTGTGCAAACAAGCACAAGGGGGATTAGGCGGCGCTGGGGGGGACGGGACACGGGGGGGACACGGGGGGGACATGGGGGGGACACGGAGAGGCCACGGGGGGACACGAGGGGCACACGGGGGACGCAGGAATGCACCCGCACAGATGGGGGGACCCGGCACCCACCGGGGTCTGGCTGGGGGGGCACCCCATGGGTGCCAGTCCAGCCCCGTGCAGGGGGAACTGGGGCACGAGGGGGCCCTGGGGGTGCCGGGGGGGCTCTGTTGCTCCCACACATGTGCACTGAGTGGGTGGGGGCTCAGCACCCACGTCCCCACACGTGTAACGAGCATGTGGGTGCTCAGCCCCACTCCCCACACATGGGGGTGCTCAGCCCCCCATGGCCCCACACGTGTAACGAGCGTGTGGGCGCTCAGCCCCACTCACCCCCTATGTCCCCACACGTGTAACGAGCATGTGGGCGCTCAGCCCCACTCCCCACACATGGAACAAATGTGGGGGCTCAGCCCCCCCATGTCTCCACACGTGTAACGAGCGTGTGGGTGCTCTGTCATTGTCCTCCCCCCACCCCAGGCCTGTGGGTGCTCAGCTCCTGCTCCCCACCCTGTGGGTGCTCAGCCCTTGTCTCCCCCCTCCCCAAGCCCCCGTGGGTGCTCTGTCATTGTCCCCTCCCTGCCCCAAGCCTGGGGGTGCTCAAACCCCACTCCCCACCCCGTGGGGGCTCTGTCATTGTCCCCCCCATCCCAAGCCCCCGTGGGGGCTCTGTCATTGTCCCCAAGCCCCCGTGGGTGCTCAGCCCCCTCCCGGCCGGGGGCAGTGCAGCCGCGTGTCCGGTGTCCGGCGGTGTCCGGGCAGGGGACAGGGGACAACCCCCCTCTCCGGTTACCGGAAGCCTCCCCGTGCCTTGGCCCCGCACCCCCGGCCGCCGGGTCCCCCCCTCCGTGTCCCCCCCGTGTCCCCCCCGCCGGGGCACCGCGCCCGGCCGGACGCCACGGCCCCGCCGCCGCTCACATTTTCCACTCTCCAGCCCAAATCCTGCCCCGCACCCTGGGGAAAACTCAGGGGGGGCGGGGGAGATGGAGCCTGGGGAAGAGGAGGGTGAGGAAGCACCACCCCGGCCCACCTCCTGCTCCCGAAGTGCCCCTCGGGCCGGGGGCACCTCAAACCCCCCCCGTCTGGGTGTTCCCCCCGCTCCAGCCGGGATGTCACCCCGCCAAAAAAAATCGGGATGTGGCCTCTCCAATCTTTAAGTGCCCCCCAAATCTGGATGTGCCCCCCCCTTTACTTCATCCGGGCGAGGAAGAGGAGGTGACGCACCACAGGAATAATAACCGGGGGGGTTATTAATAGCCGACCTCCCCCCCCCCCCCGGCTCATTGTTCCCCCAAGGTCGCGTTAAAAGGTGTTTCCCCCCCAAAAAATACCCTCCTCCCCCCCAGGCCTGAGCCACCCCCGGGGTTTGGGGGGAGGGGGGTCACCCCGGGTTTTGGGGGGGTTGCCAGCACAGCTGGAGGGATGCTGGTCCCGGGGGGGGGTCCAGGCAGCTGCTTCCCCCCCCCAGCCGCCCCCGGGATTTGGGGGTGAAACAGCTGCGGGGTCAAAGTCCCTCCGGGGGGGGCAGAGGGGGGCCCCCAAATATGTGCCCCCCCCGCTGCATTCCTGCCTGCTGGCATTGCCTAATTTATCCCGAAAGGACTTGGTGGGGGCTGGGGTTTTTTGGGGGGGTTTAATGCGTTTTAGGGGGGCAGATGGCTGGGTTTGGGGGGGTGAGGTGGGTTTGGCAGGGGGAGATGGTTCTTTGGTCAGGGGATGGTTTTTTGGGGGGATGATGGTTTTTTGAGGGGGTGGAAATGGGTTTTGGCTGGAAATGGGTGGCTGGGGGTTCGTGACGGCTTTGGGGGGAGGAAATGGATTTTTTTGGGGGGAGGAAATGGATTTTTGGGGGGAGAGAGATGGGTTTTAGGAGAGGGGGGGGCTTGGGGGGGTCATGGGGTTTCTTTACGGCAAAGAAGGGGTTTTATTGGGGGGAGATGTTTCTTTGGGGGGTGGACTTTGGAGGGGGGGGTTAACAGGGTTTTTTTTGGCGGTTGACGGATTTTGAGGGGGGGATTAGCGGGTTTTGCGGCGGGAGGGGGACCCAGGCGGCCTGGCCGGGACCCAGGCGGCCGGGCTGCTCTTCCTCCCCCCACCCCCTCCTCCTCCTCCCGGCCAGGCCATCTTTGGCGATGGGAAAGAGCCGAAGGCACGAGGCCACGTGCGCCGGGTGCCCCGGGGGTCCCTGAGTGCCCCCGAGTGCCCCCAAGTGCCCCCGGGTGTCCCCAAATGCCCCCCGAGTGCCCCCAGGGGTGGCAGGAGCCCCACCCCCCACCCCAAGCAGCGCGGGACCCCCCCGAGCCCACCCGCGTGCCCCCCCCCCGCGAGCCCCGGCGCACACGAGTGTGCAAGAGCGGGGGTGCAAGGGGGGGGCGCCGGGGGGGCTGTACCCGCACACACGCGTGCGTGGGGTGTCCCCCCCCCCTTTCCCCACCCCTTCCCCCCGGGCAGGGTGATCTTATCGCACATTCCTGCTTCGCCCTCCCCCCCTCACCCCAAATTAACCCTTCACAGCCCGGGGGGGGGGGCACCCCCATCCCTCACTCCACCCCAACCCCCCCCCGCGGGGTGCGTGGGACCCCCCTCCGGGTCGTCTGGGGGGGTGCACTCCCCGAGCATCCCGGCCAGGGGGGGCTTTGGGGTGCTCGGAACTCAAATTGCCCCCTGTCCCACAGCGGAATGGGGGGGTGGGGGGTGTAAAGTGGGGACCCCCCCTCTGTCTGTCCCCGGCAGCCCCCCCGGACGTGGGTGGGAGCCCCGCGGGGAGGGGGGGCCGCGCTGCCAGCATGGCCCAGAGCACAAGGCCCCCTCTGTTCTCCACCCCGGGCACCCGCCCAGCCCCAAACCACCCCCCTGCCCCCCCCCAACTCCGGGGGGCCCCCCCACATCGCCATCACCCCCGCACCCCACTGAGAGACCCCCCCTTAAACAGGGGGAGCGCAGCCCCGCGGCGCAAACCCACCCTGCCCCCCCCGGGGGGCACCCAGAGGTGTCACCCCCCACGCCCCCACCCCACAGCAGGGTGGGGACCCCCCCAGGGGCGCCCCCAGACGCAGCGCCCCCCCCGAGGGGGTATTTTGGGACGGTTATTTTTAGGGTGACCGGCGCCACCATCACCCTTTAAATTTAGCTGGGCGGGGGAGGGGGCGGGGGGGGCGCGGGGGGGCGGGGCAGCACCCCAAAAGCAGGATGAGCCCCCTTAGGTGACCCCCACCCAGGGGGGTGGCAAGGGAGGGCTGGACCCCCACGGGTGGCTTTGGGGGGTGATGGGAACCACCCCCACCCCGGGGTCATGGGGAACCCCAATTCCCCGAGGGGACGGGGGGGGTGATGGGGACCCCCCCCCACTGGAGACCCCCCCAGGGGATCCCGGGGGGTTCCATGGGGACACAGGGAGGGGTGAGCCCTGTGCCTCTGGTCCCTGGGGGACCCCAAGTCCCGTAGGGGACAGGCAGGGGGACCCCACACCCCCCGGGGTCATGGGGGACCCCAATTCCCAGACGGGACAGAGCATGGGGAGGGGGACCCCACCTCTCCTTTGGGGGGACACCCCAATTCCCAGACAGGGCGGGGCCCGGGGTCCCCACATGACCCCAGTACAGGGGGGATCCCCAACCCCACAGGGAGCAGGACAGGGCACCAGGGACCCCCCGGGACAGGGGGACACCCCGATCCCTTAAGGGACGGGGCCTCCCAAATCTCCTTGGTGTCCAGGGGGACCCCAATTCCCTGAGAACCCTGGGATCCTCCCCCCCCTGCACACGTGGAGGGACACCCCAATCCCCTCAGCGGCCAGAGCACAACGCTGGGGACCCCCGAGCCTGAGGGGGACCCCAATTCCCCTCAGGCACAGCACAACTCCCCCAACTCCTTTAGGGGAGGGACCCCAACTCCTACAAGGGACCCCAAATCCTTCAAGACACACAAACTCCTCATTTTCTACAAGGAACCCCAACTCCAGGAGGGGACCCCAAATCCTCCAGGGGACCCCGACTCCTTTAGGGGACCCCAACTCCGTGGTACTGAACTTCTTTAAGATATCCCAAAATCGTGTTGGGACCCCAACTCCTCGAAGGGCCCCAAGTCCTTTAATGGATCCCAAATCCACAGGGGGACCCCAACTCCTTCTTGGGATCCCCACTTCGGGGACCCCAACTCCTGTAGGGGACCCCAACTCCCACAAGGAATCCCAACTCCAGGGACCCCAATTCCTTTCGGGGATTCTAGCTCCGGGAGGGGACCCCAACTCCTCCAAGGGACCCCAGCTCCTTTAAGACACCTCAAGTCCGCGGTGGGGAGACCCCAACTCCTTTAGGGGACTCCAACTCCTTTACGGGACCCCAACTCCGAGGCCCCCAACTCCTTTACGGGACCTCCCGGCCGGGCGGGGGGACCCCGAGCCCGCTCCCCGCGGCGCCCCCCGGCCCCACTCACCGCCAGGAGGGTCCCCAGGAGCAGGAGGGTCCCCAGCGCCGCCGGGCCCCGCCGCCCCATCGCGCTCCGGCCCCGCTCCGGCCCCGCCGCGATCGCTCCGAGCTCCGCTCCGCTCCGATCGCGCCGCCGCCCCGGGGCCGCCCCGCCCCCGAAACCCCCCCGAACCCCCCCGAACCGCGGGGGCGGGGCCACCGGGAGCGCGCCCACGGGGGGGCACGGGGGGACACGGGGGGGATCCCACGGGGACGCGCGGGGACACCCCGGGGCACGCGGGACACGGAGGGGACACGGGGGGCAACTCGGGGAACTTCTGGGAACTTTGGCGGGGACACGGGGGGAGACCCTTGGGATCGTCTGCAGGGACACGGGGGGAGACCCCTGGGATCGTCTGCAGGGACACGGGGGAGACCCCTGGGATCGTCTGCAGGGACACGGGGGGAGACCCCTGGGATCGTCTGCAGGGACACGGGGGGACACCCTTGAAATTCTCTGCAGGGACACGGGGGACACCCCTGGCATCGTCTGCAGGGACACGGGGGGACACCCTTGGAATTCTCTGCAGGGACACGGGGGACACCCTTGGGATCGTCTGCAGGGACACGGGGGGACACCCTTGGAATTCTCTGCAGGGACACGGGGGACACGGGAGGCGACTCTGGGAACTTCTGCAGGGACACGGGGTGCGTGGGGACACCGTGGGACATCCCTGGGGACTCGCACTGGGACAAGGGGACAGCCCTGGGGACTTGGAACACGGGGGGACACGGGGGGCAACTCTGGGAAGTTTTACAGGGACACAGAGTGGGTGGGGACACCGTGGGACACCCCTGGGGCCTTGGGACATGGGGGACACCCCTGGGAAGTTTTGCAGGGACATGGGGAAGTCGCGGGGGGGCACGGGGGGACACGAGGGGACACGGAGGGATCACCTCTGGAACTCTGGGAACTTTCACGGGGACACGGGGAACACCCCTGGGATCTTTCACAGCGACAGGGGATGTGTGGGGACAGGGGGGACACCGTGGGACACCTTTGGGAACGTGCACTGGGACACGGGGGGACACGGGGGACACCCCTGGGAACTTGTACGGGGACACGGGGGGACACAGAGGGTACAGGGGGCGACTCTGGGAACCTTCAGGGGGACACAGGGGTGCGTGGGGACATGGGGGACACCGTGGACCACCTCTGGGGACTTGCACTGGGACACGGGGACATGGAGGACACCCCTGGGAACATTTACAGGGACAGGGGGGGTGTGGGGACACCGTGGAGCACCTTTAGGAACTTCAGTGGGGACATGGGGTGTGTGGGGACACCCCTGGGAACTTTTATAGGGATGCGGGGACAAGGGAGACACGGGGGACGCCTCTGGGAACTTTCACGGGGACACGGGGTCACGGGGACGCCTCTGGGAACTTGTACAGGGACACGAGGGCGACTCTGGGAACTTTTATGGGGACGGGGAGGTGCGTGGGGACACCGTGGGACACCCCTGGCAACTTGTACAGGGACAGGGGGACACCTGTAGGAACTTTTCTGGGGACACGGGTGTGCGTGGGGATGTCGTGGAGCACCTTTAGGACCATGGGGACATGGGGTGTGTGGGAGGACACCTGTAGGAACTTTTCTGAGGACACGAGGGTGCGTGGGGGCACCTTGGGACACCTCCGGGAACTTCTGCGGGGACTTGGAGGTGCGTGGGGACACCGTGGGGCCGCTCTGGGAACTGGCAGAGGGACACGGGGACACAGGGATGGGAAGGGGGGTTCCCCCGTATCCAGTTCAGGGATATGGGGGTACGTGGGGACACCGTGGAGCACCTGTAGGGGCTTTTACGGGTTTATGGGATGCGTCGGGACACGAGGGGGACACGTGGGGACACGGGGGTCACCTCTGGGAACTTTTATGGGGTCATGGGGTGTGTGAGGACATGGGGGGACACAAGTGGGGACCCCACAGCCCCCAGGTACGTGGGGCAGTTTGGGGGCTATGGGGCAGGGGAGACTATGGGGACTGTGGGGGGCTCAGGGGGAGCTATAGGGGCTATGAGGGGCACGAGGGGGGCTATAGTGGTGTAGGGCGGTATGGGAGGGCTCATGGGGGCACAGGGGGGACTATGGGGGCTATGGGAGACACAGGGGGGCTATGAGGGCTATGGGGGACACAGGGGGGCTATGGGGGGCATGGGAGATTATGGGGGTACCAGGGACAAAGGGCTATAGGGTAAACAGGGGTTTAGAGGGTCTAAGGGGGACACCAGGGGCATAGGTGGTAGGGGGGGCTATGGGGGCACAGGGGAGGCTATGGGACCTGTGAGGGAACAGCGGGGACTATGGGGGCTGTGTGGGCCATAGAGGGGGGTTATAGGGTCTCTGGGGGTGCCAGGGGTATGGAGTGGTGGGGGTGGGCTATGGGGAGGCGAGGGGCTGTATGGGACACCGGGGTTTACAGGGTCTCTGGGGGGCACACGGTGGTAAGGGGGGCTCTGGGGGCACAGGGGGCTATAGGGGCTATGGAGGTACCAGGACATGGGGCAGTATGGGGGGCTGTAGGGGGACACAAGGAGCAGGGCAGAGATAGGGGGGCTATAGAGGGCACAGTGTTTATGGGGGCTATGGGGGGCACAGGGTTTCTAGGGGGGTTTTTGGGCACCAGGTGCATGGGGGGTATGGGGGGTTATGGGGGCACAGGGGTGGCTGTAGGGGCTATGGGGGCTATAGGGGACACGGGGGGTTATAGGGGCTCGGGGGGGCACCAGGGGCATAGAGTGATGGGGGGGGCTCTGGGGGGCACAGGGATGGTTATAGGGGCTCTGGGGGGCACAGGGATGGCTATAGGGGCTCTGGGGGGCACAGGGATGGCTATAGGGGCTCTGGGGGGCACAGGGGCTATGGGGCCCAGGAGGGGGGGCGTGTTTGGGGGCCACAGGGGCCATATGAGTACATGGGGGATCTGGGGGGCTATGGGGGGCACAGGGGTGGTTGTAGGGCCTATGAGGGACATGGGGGCTCTGGGGGGTCCAGGGTGGGGCACTGAGCCCATAGGGGCCATGTGGGAACACTGGAGGCATGGGGCACCTGGCGGGACAGGGGTGATTATGGGGGCATAGGGGCACAGGGGCTTGGGGGACAGAGGGGGGAATATATGGGGCCAGAGGGGCCATATGGGGCCAGCAGGGGCACAGAGGGTATGGGGACTATGGGGGCATAAGGTGGTGGTTATGGGGGCTGTGGGGGCACAGGGGGGTTGGAGGGGCTATGGGGGGCACAGAGGTGACTGTGGAGGCTCTGGGGGGCACTGGGGTGGTTATAGGGTCTATGTGGGGCACAGAGGGGTATGGGGGTACAGGGGCAGTTATGGGGGCTATGGGGGGCACAGGGGTGGTTATAGGGCTGTGGGGGGCACAGAGGGACATGGGGCCTATGGGGGGCACAGGGGGATATGGGGCCTACAGGGGGCACAGGGGGATATGGGGCCTACAGGGGGCACAGGGGGATATGGGGCTACAGGGACAGTTATGGGGGATATGGGGGGCACAGGGGTGGTTGTAAGGGCTATGGGGGGCACAGAGGTGACAGTAGGGGCTGTGGGGGACACTGGGGTGGTGGTAAGGGCTGTAGGGGGCACAGGGACTATGGGGAACACAGGGGGTCATAGGGGCACAAGGGTCATAGGAGCTATGGGGACACAGAGGGGGGTCATAGGGGCTATGGGGAGCACAGGAGGGGTCGTAAGGGCTATGGGGGACATGGGGGGTCACAGAGGCTATAGAGGGCACGGGGGGGGTCATAGGGGCTATGGGGGGCACAGGAGGGGTCGTAAGGGCTATGGGGGACATGGGGGGTCACAGAGGCTATAGAGGGCACGGGGGGGTCATAGGGGCTATGGGGGGCACAGGAGGGGTCGTAAGGGCTATGGGGGACATGGGGGGTCACAGAGGCTATGGAGGGCACGGGGGGGGTCATAGGGGCTATGGGGGCCATGGGCCACTCTGGGGGCACACTGGGGGTGCAAAGACTGTGGTGGTCAATAAGGGCAGGGGGGTTTGGGGGCTGTGGGGTCCCCCCCGGCCCGGTGCCAGTGCCACGTCCCCCCAAGGTTATTGAGGTGCCACGTCCCCCCAGGGTTAATGTTTAACCCCCCCGGGCCCAGCTGGGCACGGGGTGTCCGTTCCCAGCGGTGCCCTTGGCTAATCCCGGTACCGGGGGGGATTTAAGGGCGGCGGGTGCCCGGGACACCCAGACCGAGCCATGGCCGCGATCCTGAGCCTCGTCCTGCTGCTGGTGGCCGGCGGTGAGATGCCCCCTGCCCACTCCCCGTGTGCCCAGGCTCGGGGGGTGCCCGGGGGGTGCCCGGGGGGTGCCCGGGGGGTGACAGTGGCCGTGTCCCGCAGGTGCCCGGGCCGCGGTGCTGCCGGATTCCCGCGTGGTGAACGGGCAGGATGCGGAGCCCTACAGCTGGCCCTGGCAGGTGAGGGGGCAGGGCACGGCGCGGGGACACCCGTGAGGGTGCGGGGACACCCGTGGGCGTGCGGTGGCACCCACCGGCGTGTCCCCCCCGCCCCAGATCTCGCTGCAGTACGAGCGGGACGGCGCCTTCCACCACACGTGCGGGGGCTCCCTGATCGCGGCCAACTGGGTGATGACGGCGGCTCACTGCATCTCGTGAGGGCACCGCGGGCACGGGGGGCCGGGGGGCACCGGGGGGCACCGGGGGGAAAGGGGGGCGTGGGGCTCAGGGTGCAGGGATGGATGTAGGAGGGATGCAGGGTGCACGAGGGGTGCAGGGATGGTGTTGGCAGAGGGGGCAGAGGGTGCAGGATGGAGGGATGGGTACGTGGAGAGGGTACAGGGGGGTACAGGAGGGTCCTGGGGTGCAGGAGGGATATAGGAGGGATGTGGGGGAGGGTAGGAGGGGTGCAGCAGGGGTGCAAGGGGGTGCAGGGGGTGCAGGGTGCAGGGATGGGTGTGGGTGGGATGCAGGGTGCAGGAGGGGTGCAGCGTGCTGGGGGTGCAGGATGGTGTTTGCAGAGGGTGCAGGGGGTGCTGAGGTGCAGGAGGGTGCAGGGAGGGGTGCAGGGAGGGGTGCACAGAGAAGCTGCAAGAGGGTGCAGGGATGGGTGCAGGAGGGGCACTGGCACGTGCGAGTACACCTTCACAGAGGGTGCAGGGGGGGCACCTGAGGGTCCTGGTGTGCAGGAGGGTGCAGCAGGGGTGCAAGGGGGTGCAGGGGGTGCAGGGTGCAGGGATGGGTGTGGGTGGGATGCAGGGTGCAGGAGGGGTGCAGCGTGCTGGGGGTGCAGGATGGTGTTTGCAGAGGGTGCAGGGGGTGCTGAGGTGCAGGAGGGATGCAGGGCTGGGTGTAAGTGGGGTGCAGGAGGGGTGCAGGGTGGTGCCGGGGTGTGGGTTGGATAGATGGATGGTAGTGGGGCTGTCGTGGCGGAGGAGTTTCGGGTGCTGGGGAATGCAGAAGGGGTGCAGGGTGCTGGGGTGGTTGCAGGGGGGTGCAGAAGTGACGTGGAGGGTGGAGGGTGCAGGGTCGGGGCATGGAGAAGGCGCAGGGGGGTGCTGAGGGGCAGTACGGGTGTGGGGTGCAGGGATGGGTGTAAGGGGGTACAGAAGCGGTGCAGGGGGGAGGCTTCGGGTTCATGAAATGGGATTTAGGGTGCAGGGAGGAGTTTTGGGTTCATCAAGAGGGTTTTGGGTTCATGGAAAGGTTCCAGGTGCAGGGCAGGGTTTTGGGTACAGGGAGAGGGGTTTTGGGTACAGGGAGGGGGTTTTGGGTACAGGGAGGGGGTTTTGGGTGCAGGGAGGGGTTTTAGGGTGTAAGGAGGAGGTTTTGGGTTCATAGAGAGGGGTTGGGGTTCCTGGAGGAAGTTTAGGGTTCAGTGGCAGGGGTTTTGAATGCAGGGAGGGGGTTGAGGTGCAGGGAGGGGGCTTAGAGAGCAGGGATGAAGTTTTGGGTTCACGCAGGGGGGTTGGGGTTCATGGAGGGGGATTTGGGTTCATGGACATGGTTCAGGGTGAAGGGAGGGGTTTCAGGATGCAGTGAGGGGGTTTTAGGTGCAGTGAAGAGGTTTTGGGTTCATAGAGGGGCTTTGGGTGTAGGGAGGAGGTTTTGAGTGCAGGGAGGGGTTCGAGGTGCAGGGAGGGGGTTCAGAGAGCAAAGAGGAGTTTTTGGGTTCATGGAAGGGGGTGTGGGTTCATGGAGAGGGATTAGGGTGCAAGGAGGGGTTTCGGGGTGCAGGGGGGCTGCCGGAGGGGTCCCCGCCGCCCCCGACCCGCCGGTCCCCGGCAGGAAATCGCGCACGTACCAGGTGGTGGTGGGCGAGTACGACATGAGCGCGGGGGAGGGCTCCGAGCAGACCATCCCCGTCAACTCCGACGACATCTTCGTGCACCCCAAGTGGCTCAGCTTCTGCGCGGCCTGCGGGTGAGCACCGGCCCCTGGGAGGGGGGGGGGCTGGGGACACCGTGACCCCCCGGTGACCCCGCGGTGACCTCCCGGTGACCCCCCGGCCGTGTCCCCGCGCAGCAACGACATCGCGCTGCTGAAGCTGCAGCGCCCGGCCGCGCTCTCGGCGGAGGTGCAGCTGGGGCGGCTCCCGCCCGCAGGCTCCGTCCTGCCCGACGGGTACCCCTGTGTCATCAGCGGCTGGGGCAGGACCAGCAGTGAGCCCGGGGGCACGGGGAGATGGCTGGGGAGGAGGGGGGAGGGAGGGGGAGATGGTTGGAGAGGTGGGTGGCGAATGGGAGACGGTTGGGAGTTGATGGGATGGATGGAGGTGGATGGGATGGTGGAGTGATGGGCTGGGAAGATAGTTGGGGAGGTGCATGGAGGGGTGGGGTGATGGTTGTGGGGTGGATGGGATGGTGGAGGGATGGGATGGGGAGATGGTTGGGGAGGTGGGTGGAAGGATGGGAGGTGGTTGGGAGTTGATGGGATGGATGCAGATGATTGGATGGCTGGAGGGATGGGGGAGGGAGAGATTGGGAGATGGTTGGGGGTGGATGGGATGGTTGGGGGTGGATGGGATGGGGAGATGGTTGGGGAGGTGCATGGAGGGGTGGGGTGATGGTTGTGGGGTGGATGGGATGGTGGAGGGATGGGATGGGGAGATGGTTGGGGAGGTGGGTGGAAGGATGGGAGACGGTTGGGAGTTGATGGGATGGATGGGAGTGGATGGGATGGTGGAGGGATGGGATGGGAAGATAGTTGGGGAGGTGCATGGAGGGGTGGGGAGATGGTTGGGGGTGGATGGGATGGTGGAGGAATGGGAAGGAGAGATGGGGAGATGGAGGGATGGCTGGGTAGGGAGATGGGTAAGGAGGTGGGGAAAGGAATGAGGAAATGGTTGGATGGTGGGGAGATGACTGGAGAGGTGGGGGAGGGATGGGGAGATGGAGAGGTGGGGGAGGGATGGGGAGATGGAGGGGCGGGGAGATGGTTGGATGGCGGATGGGATGGTGAAGGGATGGGGGGAGATGGTTGGGGAGGTGGGTGGAGGGATGGGGAAGGGTTGGAGGTATAGATGGGGAGATGGGTGGGAAGATAGAAGGATGGGGAGGTGGAGGGAGGGAGGGCTAGGGAGATGGTTGGGTGGAGGGGCAGAGAAGGGGTGGAGGATGGGGGAGGATGGGGATATGCATGGGGAGATGGAGAAGGGATGGATGGGGAGATGGGTGGGTGGGTGGATGGATGGATGGATGGAGAGATGATTGGAGGGATAGCTGAGGAATAGGGGCATAGAGGGATGGAGGATGGATGGAGGGAGTGACGGGGAGACGGAGGGAAGGGTGGAAGGATGCAGGGACAGAGGGAAGGAAGGAGTGTTTGAAGGATGGATGGATGGGGGGATGGATGGATGAATGGATGTTGGATGGATGTTGGATGGATGGATGTTGGGTGGATGAATGGATGGATGGATGGATGGAGGGATGGATGGATGGGTGGATGGATGGATGGATGGATGGATGGATGGAGGGATGGATGGATGGATGGATGGATGGATGGATGGGTGGGTGGATGGATGGATGGATGGTTGGATGTTGGATGGATGGGTGGATGGGTGGATGGATGTTGGATGGATGTTGGATGGATGGAGGGATGGATGTTGGATGGATGTTGGATGGATGTTAGATGGATGTTAGATGGATGGATGTGTGGATGGGTGGATGGATGGATGGATGGATGGATGGATGGATGTTGGATGGATGGGTGGATGGTTGGATGTTGGATGGATGGATGGATGGGTGGATGGGTGGCGGAGTGTGGATGGGGGTGTATGGGTGAGGGTGGGTGGGTGGTGGATGGATGGATGGGTGGATGGGTGGATGGATGTTGGATGGATGTTGGATGGATGGATGGGTGGATGGATGGATGGGTGGATGGGTGGATGGATGTTGGATGGATGGAGGGATGGGTGGATGGGTTGGTGGGTGGGTGGATGGGGGAGGATGGCTGGGTAATGGAGGAGGGTGGATGGATGTGTGGAGGGTGGATGGATGGGTGGATGGATGGCTGGTTGAGGGTCGGATGGATGTGTGGATGGGTGGATGGGTGGGTGGATGGGTGGATGGGTGGGGTGGATGGGTGGATGGATGGATGGGTGGATGGATGGATGGGTGGATGGATGTGTGGATGGGTGGATGGATGGGTGGATGGATGGATGGATGTGTGGATGGGTGGATGGATGGGTGGGTGGGTGGGTGGATGGGTGGATGGATGGATGGGTAGATGGATGTGGATGGGTGGATGGATGGATGTGGATGGGTGGGTGGGTGGATGGTGTGGAGGGCGGATGGGTAGATGGGTGGGTGGGTGGGGTGGTGGATGGGTGGATGGATGTGTGGATGGGTGGATGGATGTGTGGATGGGTGGATGGATGGGTGGATGGATGTGTGGATGGGTGGATGGATGCCCTCTGTGCATGCCCATGGTACCAACCTCCTGTGGTGCTGCATGGGCGAGCAGCTCCCACCAGGGTCTCCACACTGTGCACCAGACTGTCACCATCTGGTCCCCACTGCCAGGACAAGGGACACTGTGGGGGGGGGAACATCAAGAGCATAACATGGGAGAGGAAAGAGGGCCAGAGAGGTGATGGAGGAGAGGAAGAGGATGCAGAAAAGAGGAGGAGGAAAGGAAAGCAGGGAGCAGAGCGAGAATACACCCTGGAATCCAGAATCGATTTTTTTTCCTTCCAGAAGCCGGTCAGTTTTTAGCAAAGTCCTTTTCTGCCTTTAATCAATTCTGCCTCCCTTTCCCCTGCCGACCTCGGAGAAGATGGAACATTTCCAAGAGCAGGGAGGGAGGCAGCGGTGAGAGGGGCTTGGAAATAAAATTTAAAGTGAGGGGGAAAAAAAAAAAAAAAAAGACTCTTTAAAAGTCACTTTGCATCCCCTCCCCGAGCGGGAAGGGAGCACGGGTCATGTCAGAGCCCTCCGCCGATGTGCCTTGCCTTCGCCGCGGTGCTAATGACACTGGGAATATGCTAAGGAGCTGCCTGCGAGGGGCTTTTCTAATGCGGTCACTTCCTGGGACCTCAAAGAGGCTTTAATTGCCGGGCTGCGCCGATGGCAGGTGTGCTTGTCATGTCTAATCATCGCGCCCGCCGCGCTGGGCGCCCGCGCCGAGAAAGGGGGATTCTGGCGCTCCCCCTCCCCGCCTCGCCCTCGTACCCCCCAACTTTTCAACCATTGCACACCTGTCAAAATGATTATGGGAATGAGACTCCATCACGGGCAGGCAGAGCAGATTTGAAGGAAATCCTCTTTCTCCCTCGCTCTCGCCCTTTTCTTTTTTTTGTGTGTGTGTGTGTGTGTGGTTTTTTGTTTTTTGTTTTTTGTTTTTTTTTTATTCTCTCGCTCACGTTTCGCCTCAGCTCGAGAGGGATTAGGAGAAGGGGGGAAAAAAATCCCCCTGGTAAATGGATCCTAAACATGCATTGTTGTCTCTGGGTTTTTTTTGTTGGGGTTTTTTTTTTCCCCTGGTACATTCTGGAGTCACGGCGAGGTTTCCATGCTGGGAGCTCATGGACGAAGCTGCAAGGAAGGAAACGAGGCAGCCCCTGTGAAAAACATCAACCTGCGGGTGCCTCGCATCACTTGCACGCACCAAAAATACCCACATAGGCCCTGATACAGACCCCCAGCACTCCCCACACACAGTGCACAGATGAAATCAGTGTTCCTGTCTCCCTGTGGCTTGGGAAGCAGCACTCGAAGGCACAAAGATGTGAACACAACCACCTTCACACCTGTAAAGGACCACAACCCCCTGTTCCCAGCTGGGCACACACCCTCTCTCCAGCTGCAAGTGCAAAGGCCCAGCTCGGCCCCACACACATGTACCTATCCCAGAACCCCAGAATGGTTTGCACTGGGAGGGATCTTAAAGCTCATCCAGTTCCATCCCCCTGCCATGGGCAGGGACACCTTCCTCCCTTCCAGGTTTCTCCAACCTGGCCTTGGACACTTCCAGGGATGGGGCAGCCACATTTTCCCTGGGAAATCCATTCCAGCACCTGCCCACCCTCCCAGGGAAGAATTCTTTCCCAATATCCCATCTGACCCTGCCTTCTGGCAGTTTAAAACCGTGGACCTGCAGCTTTCCTCACACTGTGATGGTTTGAACCCGAGTGGATGACCCTTTCTGATTAAATCCCTGCTAATCAGCCATCAGCAGTGAACCAAGAGCATCAATCCCGTGTCAATCTGTGCCACCCCCAGCAAAGGCTGGGCTGGTGGTGGCAGAGGCAGGTGGGACTCAGAGGTTGGGTGGCTCCGTGTCACCCACGGGCATCAGGAACACAGTGGGATGGTTTATAAATCAAAGGATGAGTTGGAAAAAATCATGGTCACCCACACAGGTCTTTTTGTGCTCACTGGCACAGGACAGCCCGAGAGGCAGCAGCCAGGATGCAGCCATCCACAGGGGTGCAGCCATCCACAGGGGTGCAGCCATCCCTCGGGATGCAGCCATCCCTAGGGGTGCCAGCCTGCTGCAGATGGACAACTGTCTCTGCAGCCCACCAGGGACATGCCAAGCTCTTCTGACACTCCTCAGTGCAGGGGGGTCATCAAACCCCCTCCGAGACTGTCCCAGTTCTGTCACAGCTCTGCCAACCTTCTCACACAGTGCTGAGCGATGCTGGGGCTGCCCAGGTGCTGGGACCTGCTCTGAGCCTGGAATAAAGAAATCCCAGCGGGAAGCGAGGCAGGGGTCGGAGGGAGGAGCAGGAGCTGTTGTACAGGTTGTAACACAGCGCCAAGGCAGGTGGGGGAGCTGCACTATATATATATTTTATAGGACATGGAAAGTGACTTTTAAGGCCTCTCTGGTGATGTTGTGATGCCAACTGAGCCCAAAACTGCTCAGGTTCTCAGTCATTCTTATCTTGAGATGTTTGGAGATAAGTTGGATTAGTCTGATTTGTCCACCCCCTCCTCTCTTTGCCTCCCATGCTCTGTTTGCTGCCTCCTTCCTTCCAGCTTTCTGCTCTGCTCTTCAGGGTCATCTCTCCTGCTGCTCCCACCTGCTGGACCTCGTGTCTGGCTGCTGCTCCTCCAACAAAAGTATCCCTCATCTGGATTAGGGGATTGAGTCCACCACTAGCAGATTTGCAGATGACACCAAGCTGGGGGGGAGTGTTGATCTGCTGGAAGGCAGG